CTGTGTTTTATTTTGTCTCGTGTCTCTGTCTCCTGAGCGTTGCCCAGCCCCGGGGAAGCGGCCGTGAGCCCTGCCCCGCTCCTCTCCGCCCTGAGCCCCAGAGACCCTCCGGGCTCTGTGCTGCGGGCTTCCCCACCCGCGCGGCGCACACGCCCGGCGCCGCCCGCGACCGCGACCGCGAGGATAGGCTGTCTGGCCCCGGGATGTGTGTGCAGCACCCGGGGCTCGTCCTCACTTTGGGGCCAGCAGGGAGCAGAGATGCCCCGTGAGGGTGGGATTCCCGGAAGCGCCCGGAAAGGGGTGCTGCCCTCGGGGGCTGGGTAGGAGAGCGCTGTTGTAGCCCAGCACCAGGTTTAGGTTTTGGGGGTGGGAGAATGGGTTCCGCAGAGACGGTGGGAAAGCGAGGAGAATCTTTTGTTTTCCGCGCGGGGTCTGGGCTGGGCTCTGTAGAGTGTGGGAAACTTGTAATGGCCCTGGCACCCGCGCGCCCTGCCACTTGGTGATATCCCGGCTCCCGAGGCCGCTGGCACCAGAGGTTCCGGGCTTTGTTTGCTCGAATTAGTGCCCAGGAGCGGTCCTCCTCCGGGCGTGGTGCGGCGCCCCCGCTCTGGGCCCTGTCCCTGAATGCAGCTCCCTCCTGGGCAGCGAGGACAGCGTTGGTCGCGGCTGCGCCGTCCCCCTCTAGACGGAGGCTGCCACTCCAGGACTGGTGCCCGCCGCCCCCTCCTCCAGAATCTGTGGGAAGGAGGTTCCCGGGAGATGGAAGGGTGGAAAGACCTGGCAAGCGATGGCCCAGTGCTTGCTACCCAAACAAGGGCTCTGCCCCAGCCCCAGGTTCTGGGTGTGCGAACTACCAGCCGCGTCCTGGAGCTCTGCCTCCGCGGCTGCGAGGCGCTCGGGAGCAGCCGGACAATGCTCACCCCACCCCGCAAGACCGTGCTGGGGTGGGGTGGGAAGCGCCTCTTCTCCAGGGTCCCCGCTTTTATTCTCAGCTCCACTGTGGCACACGGTGCAAAGCAGGATCCTGACGTTCGCTCCCTCTTCCCACGACAGGAGCGGTACAGGGGGGCCAGGGAGCCTGGGGTGTCGGGAAAGGAAACAGGACTCTACTGTCTTTCCCGCTCCCTCTCCGCCCCTCCGCCCAGCGACTCCTCCTTCTCTTCCAGCAGCGGTCACTCTACCAGGCGCTTCTGGAAAGTTTCTCTGAGAGCCACGGGCGGCGGGCATGACTGGATTGGGGCTCGGCATGTGCAGCCTGCGAGAAACCGAACCCCGAGGGAAGCGGGTGGACGACCCAGGGTGCATCTAGGGGCTAGATGCGGGTCCTTCGGACGCTGCCCCCCCCCCCCC